CTATTCTATGAAATACTTGAACTTCTTAAAATGTATGCATAGACACAAAAAGCTGGTGCCTGATAAATGATTATTCAATTGGCCTCATATTGACCTAACTTTATTTAAGGACATTTATACAACTTAAAATAATTCTTCTTTAAAATGTAGTACAGTTGTCTTGTATATTCAAGTCTCATCATAAAAACATAACTTGCACCGAAAGACTGGAAACATTTTTCTAGTGTTTAGTTTTATATTCAGTTTAGTTCTCTCTTCATGCATTCCATCACCAAGAAGAAGGACTATAAAATCATTTAAGGTATTCAATATTGTAATGTATTCCAACTCAATAAACATATTGAATGCCTCAAAGTTGTGGTTGTATTGTTGTTACCGTCTACTGTGCTAAAGAGAGTTGGAAGTTGGAGCGTTTTTCTTTTTGTCCCATTATACTAGATCCCTTCTCCCCCTCCCCACTCTTTTACTTTTACGTGTCTTTTTTCTTTGTATTTTATACTTTGATAGACTAATAAAAAAGTTAAATCTTAAAAATTCAATAAATATATTGAAATGTAGGTTTTTCACAGTTTAAACTATGTAAAAGTATATTTGTCCATTTCTATATAAATTCAATGTCTTCATATTGTATCTACTGGTCTATTAGAGGAAGTATATTTTAAAAACAAACCAAAACCATCTTTTTTTAATCATGAAGATAATTCTTAGTATCACAGGTAATAACAACTTTGTGGTAAATGTAAAATCACAGCAATCAACGCAGAATCTGGGTTTTATTTATATATTACAGCTGAGAGGAAAGAGTTATTATGGAGGAACTACAATACATAATTACATATAATGTCAAAAACTATTCTAAAGCAAAGTAATAGGGGGAAAACAGAATAGAAGCTTCTAATTAAAGAAATACTCTAGGCAACGGCAAACAGGAAAATAATGGAGGTAATGTGAAAAACAAAATAGAGAACGCATAGATTAAGGAAGACAAAAGCCATGAAGAATAACCCATTTCTTTGTAGCTAAGGATTGGTTAGAAAAAGGAAGGGGAGGAGGCAAGGATGCTCTACATTTAATATTCAACTTATTTATTTATTGATCTCAAAAATTCAATAGAATGGGGAAATGTCCCAAATGGCACAGAGTTTCATTGTCCTGTCTTGAAAACTGAAGCATTTAAGATAAGATTCTTAAATTCAATTTAATCAATCAGTGTCCAATAGTTTTTCTAGTGAAATCCACTTCCTGATTTATTTGCAGTAATACAATTTTGTAACACTGGTAAGCTTTATAATAAAATATTGTAAAGTTCTGATAAAACTAAGCCATGTCAAATCTGTTGATAACATCCAATATTTATCAATGTCATGAAATGGTATATTTCCCACTGCAAAGATTACTCAGCTGTGATAGTTTCATCTTCTGGTAAATCACAACACACATCAAAGCTTCATTTTTAAACAAAGCCAAACCAAAACAAAAAAACAGCACTATAGCAATTTGTGCCTTTTTTCTATTTTTTTTTAAAGGAGGGGGAAGGAAGATAGAACAAGAAAAATATAAGGTAGTGTGGTAACAGTTGTATGGATAATCCATATGACTGGATGGGTGCATTGTAATTCATTAGAACCTGGTATACAAAGGTCATTAATTGCAAATACGAAATATCATATCACATAATACCATATTAAGGTCTGAACTGGTATTAATAGTAAGCAGAACATCAGAAGTAGAATAAAGTCCTGACTGGAACAAGACATAATGGATGTATGAATAAAAATTTGTAGTTAATATAAACTGCATTAATGAACAGCCTACCCAACCCAATATTCCCTATTAATCTATTAAATCAAGTATGTATTGTATTGAATACTTTTCCATAGATGAATAGATTGCCATGAGTAGCATATTTTTTCTTTTAAAATCCTGTAGCTTTAATTTTAAAAGTGACATTTTCATAGATTAAATATAAAAAAAATCATCTGGTTATTATTTTTCCTATTTATTTGACCTACTCTCAAGACTAAGCCATTAACAAGGCTCTTGTATGCTTTTAATGTTGGAGCAATCTATCTTTTCTAAAATTTTGCAAATCCAAAATTATTTGCAAGATCTGTGATACCTGCTAATAGAAATAACTGTCTTGGAGTGTAGTTTGATCTATATATTATAGAAAGGATATATTCTTCAGCCAAAATATATAAATTCCAGTCCTCTATTGGGTTTCTTTCTTTAATTGGCAATACAGTAATACCAACTGCAAAGCAGTATCAAGCATAATGTAATAATGTTCAGTTAACAGAAGAGCAGATTGTTTTGTAGCAGGATGAGATGTCCTGCTTGGGTCAGAGTTGTAAATTAGTCTCAAGGTTATGTCTTTGCCTATTTGCCAGTTCCATGCAAAGTGTCACACAGACACTAGAAGCTTCCTGCCTAATTAATACAACTGACAGAAGGGATGTCTGCCTTTGGGGGAAAATATATAAAATTGACAGAACTGTTAGGTAATGGGGGGAGGTTGTGTTTGTGCTGCGTGAGTCAGAGGAGGAATCTGTAGTTGAGGACTAGCAAGAGCAAGATGATCATAAAGAGCAATTGGCAGGGCAATCTGGCTGGAGAAAAGGACAGCAGGGTTTGCAAGGACAGATCAGAAGTCAGCAAGGACTTTGACAAAGGTACTACAATTCCAAGAAATTCAGAAAAGAGTTGTCTTCCCTTTTCCCATTCTCTTCTCTAGGCTTAATGGCAGTCCACGAAATGAACATAATGAGGCTTTGTAGCAGAGTAAGCATAGTTGTGCTAAGAAAACATGAATCAAAGAGAAAGGAATAAGATTCTTAAGATACTAAAATGCTTGGTAAAGAAATGTCTTTATGAAAATATTTGTACAATCTATTAAGCAAAGGGGGAGGCAGGCTGGAAGGGGTTAGAGAGAATAAGCACCATTTATTTACTTGAAAAGCAGTATAACACATAATTACATAATAACCCTGACTGCTCTTTAGAAGGCCAGATCCTGAAGATGAAACTCAAATACTTTGGCCACCTAATGAGAAGGAAGGACTCACTGGAGAAGAGCCTAATGCTAGGAACGACTGAGGACAAAAGAAGAAGGGGACGACAGAGAATGAGGTTGGAGTCACCAAAGCAGTTGGTGTGAGCTTAAATAGACTCCGGGGGATGGTAGAGGACAGGAAGGCCTGAAGGAAGGTTGTCCATGGGGTTGCGATGGATCGAACACGACTTCGTGACTAACAACAACAACAATTTCGAGTAAAGTTTGTGCATATGGTGTCTGTGCCTGTCTGTCTAGAAAATTCCTAACATTTTCTCATCCTTTGACATTCCTGTTATCAAAAGGTACAGATTTCTCTGTACCTTTTTCGGTCTTTTGACATGTTTCTATTTTAAAACCATTATAGAAAAAATGTATTCTAAATGAAGCGTTCCGCAAAGTCTGACTGTCCTCTTCCACAAAACTTTTACAATGATAGGAAGACTTGTGCCTTTGTCTTCAGTACTTTCACTCCCTTTCCTTGTTCTTTATGCTTACTTTTAAGCTACAATCTTCTTAGCATAAATGCTTCTCTCATTGTTTTAAAAAAAATCATTTATAAAGATGGTTCTACAATCTCGTAGAATCAACGTAACAATGTTTCCTCAACAATGTGTCATTTATAACACAGGAATAGCACAACTATTAAAATACTGAATGCCTTCTTATAGCCTTTCATACTTTTAACATCAAGCAGGAAAAACCTGGATAGTATTGTTAAAGCATAAATAATGGGAAACTGCTAAAACCTACACTTTTTTGTTAGTTGGCCAATGCAAACTGTCCCATTTGAAGCTCTTAGGAGAAAATACACCTATAGGAAAGCACATGAATTATAAGATGGCAATGAACTGCACTGCTTTTCAAGCATACCTCTCCTTACTATCAATTTCAAAATTGTTGAAACTAATCCTCTTAATGTGAAAGTCTGAGCTACAGTCATTCATATCAGTTTGATTGATTCCAAGTTCATAAAGCTGCCTTTAAAGCACAGTGATGATGCTAATTAAAAACCCAATAAGAAACAGAAGTAGCATCAAAAAGATTTAAATTTATGAATTTAACCTTCAATTTTTCAATAGTACGATTGGCCATGATCAAAGAAAAATATATGTAATACAAATTGTACACTTCTGCTCATACAATGGGATTCTCCAGAGCATATTTGAAAAGGGATAGGGAAATCAAACTGAAGCTAAATGCAATTTAGTGACTGAATGCTATGCCCTCTATGCAATATCTATGGACAACTTCAACAAATTTACAAGTCCGATAGAAAAACATCCAAAACTAAAAGAAGAAAATAGAATAAATAATTGTTGATAGATTTATATACAAGCATTGCAAGGGAGCTTGTTGGATTATGATTTATCAATACTGTATTTTAGGTATTTTTAAGAAGTTTGAGAAAGAAGGTAGCCTTCAAGTTATGACCACTTGTTCAGCCACCATTCGAAGTTATAATGATGCTGAACAAGATGGACTTTCAACCAGTGTTCCAAGTTCTGGCTGTCACAGCATCCCCCCAAGATCTGGGCATTTGATGAAAAGTTACTTGGTTATTTTACATCAGTATCTGGAATTGAGTTAATTACTTTCCATCTCTTTACATTGGAGTTTTTATGGGATGCATAGTATTTGATCCATCTGTTTCCTACCAAGCAACAGAATGTTTTAAAAATTGTACCTATATGAAAAAAAGGGAAAATTGAGATACCATGTGAATTTCTCCGAGTCTCTCTCTGCCCAGCCTTTTTATTTCTCTTCAGCTTCCTTCTCAAACAATTGCCTTCATCTATCGTTCCTGTGTTGGTCTGGGCTTCTGAATCCAGAATGATTACTTTGTCTGATAAATCTCTTCTTATGCTAATCAATTTTGCCTGTAGCTTTTATCTTTTTACCAGCAGCTCATTTCTGATAAAAAGTTCCTCATGCAAGACATACATACCCTTCTCCAACAACTCTTGCAAGTTTCAGACGAAAATCCACTGAATTTAGACTGGGTGGCTTCCATTTCAAAATGTCATCACACCGTCCAGGCTTGTATTTCTTAAAAATGAAAAATTAAAGAAAGTTTATTTGTCTGCTTACAAGCCAGCATTAACAACCTGTTAAATATTTGAGGAAGAATAGTTATAAAGTCATTATCATCCTTTCTGAAGATGTATAACATAGAAAGCATTGCAATTACAGTATTTTTCGGAGTATAAGATGCACCTTTTTCCCTCAAAAAATAAGGTGAAAATCTGGGTGCATCTTACACATTGAATACAGCATTTTTGTCTTCCTGAACCCCCACTCCCCCTGCAGCCCCCAGGAGCACTCTGCAAGCCTCCTAAAGGCTATGCATGCCTTTTTTTTTTTTTGACAAAAAACAGTCCCGTTTTCGTGAAAAACAGGCTGATTTGGAAGGTCTGCAGAGTGCAAAAACTTTTTTAAAAAATTTGCCTCTTCAAAATCTTGGTGTGTCTTATACTTCGGTGCATCTTATACTCCGAAAAATAAGGTAGTAACCAAAATAAGTTTATTAAGATTCAGTGGTTTAGTGATTAAGGCACTGGCTAGAAACCAGGAGACTATGACTTTTACCAGTAGTTCCGCTTTAAGCATGAAAGCTGGCCTGGGTGACCTCGAGCCAGTCACTTTCTCTCGGCCCAAAACACCTCACATGGTTGTTATTGTAGAGAAAATAGGAAAAGGAGGAAGTATTAGATAACCAGCTTGAGTTATTTATAAAATAATAAAGGCAGGGTAGTTTTGCTTAAAGAGTTTATTAAAAATCTTGTTTCCATGTGTATAATTCAATATACATTATTCATATTATTCATTTTAATCTTCTGAGGGTATTTATTGGGGAATTCATGTGGGTTGGATATAGTGAAGTGAGAATATTCCCCACCTTTTTCAATTCAATTCCGACTTTCAATTCCAGACAGTAATCAGACTTTGATTTTTCAAGTGTCAGGTTGATTGATAATTCATGAATGAGAATGCTAGTACTATATTTAAGTCTATGTGGCAGACATCCCAAAGTAGCAAATTAAAGAGAAGAAACCTAATATTGACCTGGAAGAAATTCCACATAGTTTTAGGAAGGTAAACACAATCATTATAATGTTGGGCAACAATACCGTTAGACATATTGAAAGTCACTGAAGTCAATGGGTTTAAGCCATTGATTCAATTGTGCATAAAAAGCTGTTTAATATTGTAGGTGCTTGAATCATATGGTTTTCATTGTATCTAATTTCCTTTTTTCTGCACTATTAAATAAATAGATAAAGATAGTAAAAAAAGAATAGACTTTCTCACAATACTAAAATCCAGGGTTATCTGGTAAAAATCAACATGATTAACTGCCCTAGACAAAATTATCTTTGATGAAGCAATCTTTTATACTTGTTAAGACTGTTAATTAAATTAAGTATGTGTGTTTACAAATGCTTAAACTGTAATATTATAACATAGATATTTTATTTCTTATATCTATTGCCCCAGAATTCTGTATTGTCTGCATCTCCTGCATTTGATGTCTCTTAAATCTACTGTTTATCATTCTTTCAGTCACAAGCAAATTCTCCTTAGACAGAATAATATTTCAGAGGGCAAATGAAGTTGTCTGTATTCCTTGATCATAGCTGGCTTCATAAATGTATCAAACAGATGTCACAAAAATCTGGTCTATTATTATTTCTGTTCTGCCATCAAGTTTATAGTGATATGTTGCCCACAGCTTCTTCCTTACTTTTGTCTTTAGTGTTCTGTCACTCCACCCAGGTGCAGATATGATCTTTAATTAGATTTTTTGTATAAACTTTTAATTCAGTGGAGCTGGCTGTCTCAAAAGAAATAAACGATGCCCTTGTATGTTCCATTATACTGTATTTGATTATTCCTATTATGGCAAGCACATTGCTGTCTGGTAGAATTTTTAAGGTATAGATTGAGGACAATCGTTTTATCTGCATGCATTATTATTTCTCTGGGCAATCAACAACCTTTTTGTAAGGCAGGCCTCTACATAATTGGCTTCTCTCTCAAAGCACAATCTCTTAAGGCTACACTTCAGATGACCTAACACTGAATAAAACCTTACACGGAGTAGTTTCAACCAGAGACTCCAGTTATTAGATGGAATTCTAATAACTGAATAGTTGTAAGAGTTAATGTTGTGACAGCAATAGTTATATATTCTGAAATATGCCAGTAGATGAAAATCTTCTATCTAGACACTTATTGAAGAAATCTTTGACTTGACAAGATCACAATGATTAGTAACCATATTCCTGCAAGGAGGGCTAAAATAGCTACAGATTTTTCATACATTTTTAATGAACACCCATTTTCTCAGCATGTAGAAAAAATACTTGATACCTTCTAAGTCCAATGCAATACATTGCATGCCAGTGTTTCCTGTCACAGGCCCCGATTCCAACCTGATTTTAATTGATCACAACAATGCCATATAAAGCACTAACAATGTAGCCCAGCCCTTTGCAGAAAGACAATAAATAACTTAATGCATACAATACAGGGAGGTATCACAGGCACTGATAATATGGATATATATTAAAGGATTAAGCTGGTCTAGTTCATCAGGAATGAAATATTAAAATTCAACACATTGTTACATTTAACAGCTAGTCAAATACATACTTTAATGGTATCGGTTACTTAATCATTATTGTAATATGGTCAGAAAGCAGGGAGGGAGGGAGGGAGGGAAGGAAGGAAGGAAGGAAGGAAGGAAGGAAGGAAGGAAGGAAGGAAGGAAGGAAGGAAGGAAGAAAAATTATTTATTGTTAGCTATAGTACAGAAAAAATAAAACAAAACAATAAATGAAATGTTTCATAATGAGTTCAGTGAAGAATAAACTGCATCTTTTATATTTTTATTATTGTTGTTCTCCAGTTTCTGGTAACAGCAAGATACAAAACAGCCACCCTTTACTTTTTCACACATTTATCCACCTCTTTCACAAGTCTTTTCTTATTTGTTGCAGGATGAAGAGGCATTGTTTCTTTCAAAAAAATAACTGGATTAAGAATTTCAAAAAGAAAAATGGAAACCTTGATGAGTTGAAATTGGAATTGCTTTATCTCTACCCTCAATCATGCTAAAACTTGTGAAGTTCTTCCTTGAACTATAATAAATGGTAACTCTCAAAAAACTTTATGTGACAAAGATACCTTTTTTTCCTTTTATGTCTTAACCAAGTTTCAGCCTTCAAAGGCTGAGTGTTTAGTTTCATCTTGTTTATTGACAGCCATAAATATTCAAAATCATGATTTAAAATATAGGAGTGTAATTTAAATGTACTTGATTACACAATAATTTTCAAGCGTACCAATTGTATTTCTGTTGTCTGAATTTTTCAAACGGCCCTGCTTTTAAAGATTAGTTTTCCATTGCAAAGAAAACAAATTATGAACATTTGGAAACGGATGCGGAACAATTTTCAGGAAGACATGGGAATGAGCAGCAGACACAACCCTCCATAGAACAGGCTTTCTGGAATGCAGCAGTCTATAGAATATGAACCAACTTCCCAAATTAATTCACATGCTGTGTAATATTTTGCCACATGTCCCGTGTCCTGCTTAATGAATGATAGAAGATTTTATAGACTATATGACAGCAAGTAATTAAAATCAGTCACCTGAATAGCATTATTGTAACACTGCATCGCTTGTTGCTCCACTAAAATGCATAATCATAAAAATAAAATAGATCTCCTCAGTTTACCAAGTACATATAAGTTTTTGACTACTATTTACTGCAGGGGAGAAAACAGTTATACTTAGAAATAAATTTAATTTGGCATTCCTCAGTATCAACTTAAAAAAATCTCTTTTGCAGGCCCCTAAAATTCTTCCAAGGAACACCAGGTTTTTCCAGAATTCAATCTGAAGACTAGCTAATCTAACAGACCATTTGCTTTTAAGGAAACAAAACAAAACTGCCAAAGATATATGACTAATAAGACAGATCAGAGCTCATGTTGACATTTCAGTTGTTAAATAAGAATCTTTCGTGCCACAGTTTCTTCCAAAAGCACAATTTCCCCACACTGACACTCATTTCCAGTTATTGGAAACAACTGCTTGCAATTAATTAATATGTAATATGAGCCTGGAGGAGAGGAATGGGCAGCTGAATGCTTCTGTCCATGTAATGAGTTATTAAACTGATCACAATCAATGCAAACCCATTTGAATTGACATAATCATAACTAAGTATCAGAGGCCTTCATCTCTATAAGGCATGGATGCATTTCTGTAATAACTCTAGTACCTGAAAAGATTTATTCCAGATCAGCAGCTAGAAGACAATTAGTGGCAGTTTCCTAACTGCAACATCAAAGTACTGACCACTGATCATTTTTATACATTTTTATTTATTGCTTAATATTTTTTTCATGTCACAGAAAATATGCCAGTTGCTGGGAAATACAAACAGGAGATTGCTCTTATGTTTGTATCTTGCTTTGAAATTTCTCTTATGAGCAACTGGTGCATAAAAGTGGGAATTAATATACAGAATTAACAGATTCTTTACTCTGATCCTACAATGCTTTTATGTTTTTAACAGGTAAAATACATAATGGTGTACTTCAAATATTTCATTCATCTTCTCGTGTGGTGGGCTCTAACCCATATATGTAGGACAGCTATAACAGATGGTCTAGTGGACCTTCATTGACAACTGAATTACTCTCTTAATACCTGTAATAAAAGTTAATTTAGTTTCATATATGCTGGCCTGAGTACAAGCTCTAAAGAAAGGTGGGACAAAAATACAACAAACTAATTACAGAAGATTACAATTTCAGCTGAGTCAATTTAGCAATGCTAAAATTTATCTTCATTGCTTTAACATCACATTGTCTAATACAACTTCAAAACATATAGAAATAAATAAACTCAAAAACAGAATTTCCTTTTCTTCCTGAAATTACTAATGTATTGTCTTATGCTCCAGCCTGATCTAGCTGAAGAAAAATAGCATATTTTTTCCATGGTTGTTTTAGTTGGGAGTAGAGTAAACA